CCCTCAAGATTTCCGCCATGTGTTCCACATTTTTCCTTCAGAAGGGCTGTAAACAGTAACCTGAAATAAACCTTTTCCCCCTGGACTTGCTTTAGTCCTGTAGTTCTGCCGCAGCAATAGAAACCCCCACTTAAAATGCTGTGAGGATACCAAACTGCATGAGAACCTGAAACTACCTTAAATTTTAGAAACGTATAATAAGTTTTAATCCCATTCTTTCTTTCCAATGTCTTTTCAACTCTCATTTGATTGCATGACATCTTCACTGTATCAACGTATTTCTTCATCCATTGAATTACTAGAGCTTGCGTAAAAAATCAAAACTAGACCACTCTTCACACCAGAAACCAGCAAATTCCTACCACATAGTAGGAATTCCTGATGCTCATCAGTCAACTGTTTAAGTAAAGCAGTTGCTTTCCTCAAAGCCTTTTTCTTTTTCATCTGAATTGGCCTCCTCCCCTGGCTGTATCAATTAGATACAACGAGTCCCCATCATCTGAACTAAGGTCAGCCTCTCTATTTCTTCTTGAATGTATCCAACATATGTACTTCTTTTGTGTGTCTCAGCCCTTTCTCTTCCAAAGGCAGGTGTGTGTGACAAAATCTATGCAGGCTTTATATCTAAATTGCTGTTGGTCAAAAGCATCTAATTCCATGGCCATTCAATTACCCATCTTCCTGTCAATATGTTTATTTTCAATACTGGAGATGACTACTAGGGAGGAAATGTGACTATAAATCGCAGTTCAATTGCAAGAAATGAAATTTATCACATTTTATATAAAGCATGAAATTTAGTCTTCCAGTTAATCACTCAGGTGTGAGGGAGAAAGGCCTATACTCAAAATGGCACATAACTAAAATTGAAGTTTTCACAGGAGAGTTGTGACAGCCATAAGTATTACATAGATTTAGCAAATAATAATGAGAACCATTCCCTCTCCAATGTGGGTGTGTGTACTTTCTTCTATTAATTTTACTATAAATCAACCTTTGAAGAAATAGTTGTGTTTATCACATGGATAATAGCCATGTTATCAAAAGAGAAAGAAAGGAAGAGTAGTAATCAATTGATCTAATAATGCAAGATATCACATATGATGGACACTACACAGACCAAATAGTAGGCTCAAAATGTCTGACTGACAAGAGCTTTATCTAAGTTGTGGGGAGAGGTTACAAACCATGTGAATGACAAGAAGGCCTCTTGTGACCTCAAACAAAATAGTCTCCACACATGCACACAAATATATAAATAATATAAAATAGTGTTAAAAATTAAATGCGAGGCTGGAGTAATGACTTAGCAGTTAAATGATGACTCTCCAGGGGTCTGGAGTTCAATTCCCAGGACATACACAGCATCTTATAACCACCTGTATCTTCATTTCTAGGGAAACCAATGCCTATTTTGGGAAATAGGCACATACATTATATATATATATATATATACATATATATATATATATATACAGGCTATACAGGCAGCAAATAAAACACACAGCCTTAGTAAAAAAAAACAATATAATAAAATAAACAAATAAAAAGAATACCAAGATGTAAATCCACAGATATAAAGCCATCTAATATTTAACAAAGCAATAAAAAGCATATAACTGAGAAATATAAGTCCTTTAATAAATACTGTGGATGAAACTTTTGTCTAAACTTAAAACAATGAATTGAGATCTATATTTCTCATTCTATATATAAAAATTAATACATAAATTCAATAGTAGGTAATAATGTATGAAAGACCTGAAATCTAAAAAAAAAAACCAAGATGACATTGAACATAAAGGTAACAACTATATAAAAAATGACTTAGTAATTAGAAATAATCCCAATAATGAACAAGTGGTATTATATGAAATTAAATATTTTTGCACAGAAATAAATGCAATCACCACTGTGAAGAAAAACTGTGTAGAATCTTAGAATTCACCAGAATGTAATGGCTATAGATAAAGAGATATAGAATCACAGCATTTCCTTTTCCCTAATCTTCCTTGACCCTTCCCATGTACATCTGCAAAAGCCTCCTCAAATTTATGTTTTTTGTTCTTCAATTAATATTGTTACAATACTACACATGTAATATATATATATATATATATATATATTCTGATAAATGTGTTCTGATAAAATTAGAGAGCTGTCATGTTTACCAAATATGTTATACAGTGTGCTCTCTGTACTGAAAGATATAAAATTTGAGGTAGTTTATCTTGATGGAAGATATGATACATACCACAAATGGAAACTATTGCTCAAAGAACTTAAATGGCCATGGGAAATTAGAGCTTTTACTTTTAATATTGATCACAAAACCCTGAGTCTTTTTAGCAGATAGATATCGGTGATAAACAGGATGTAGTCATAGTGCTAGCCTGGACTCAGTCATCCATAAGAATCCAGGTTCTGTAGATAAAGATGGACTCATTCTCCCATTCACTCCTGGCAAGTACAGACATCGTTAACTTCCTGTACCAAGACAGCTCTGGGGAAATGCCTCCAGATAGTGAAGACCAATGACTTCTGGGTAACGACTTTTGTACAAATTCTAGATTTTCTACTGTGTTCAAAGACTAACAAGAGTGACTTTTCTAAGGAAGATTCTGGTAGCTTGTATTTAAGTGGAATCTGTTCACTGTATCGAGGTTGTCACACTGATTTGTCACATTGCTTCCACAATCAAGAAAGAGGGAGATAGATGCTGTTACATTACTTCTTTATTTTTTTTTAATGCAATTTGAGTCACAGTCCATGAAATAGGGTCTCCAAATTTGAAGGCAAGTTTTTTTTTCAGGTAGCCTCATAGTGAAAATATAGTGTAGTGTAGCTACTATGGAAATTGATGTAGAAATTTATCAACAATATAGACGTTGATCTACATTATGACCCAGTTATACAACTTCTGGGTGTATACCCAAAGGATTCTGTATCCCTCTACATAGATACTTCTTCATCCATGTTTATTGCCATCCTATTCACAATAAACAAGTTGTGAAAATAGCTTACACCTAATCAACCAATGAATAATAAAGAAATGTGGTATATATACACAACGAATTTTTAGTCAGCTCTAAAGATAATAAAATTTGAAGGAAAATGGATATAGCTGGGCATATAATTCTTGGTAAGGTAACCCAGACCCACAAGACATAGGGCAAATGTTCTTTCATATGTATATATGTATGTATATATATGTATACATATATATTAGATTTGAAAATTTCAAACATTTTTTTTACTATTTTTAGTTATGTTAATATGTGTTTTAGAGTGTAGGTATCTACACATAAGAGAAGTTGCTTATGGAAGTCAGAGGAGTTTGATTCCCCTGGAGCTGGAGTTACAGGAAGTTTCACGCCGTCAGAAGTCAGTGCTGAGAATCAGACACAGGTCCCCTAGAAGAACGGTATATGCTCTTAACCAATAACTTATCCCTTCTAGGTCCCTATCTTTGTACTTTTAGATATGAGGGTTTAAAAAGAAGTATATTTAGAGTTCATAAAACTGTCAAAGGCCTATGAAATGAGTTGCAATATTTCAAGACAGGGAAGGAATAGTAAAGCATATGGCATTAAGGGGCAGGGAAATAATGGGAAGAAGACATATTAAGTAATGTGGGGAAGGAAGGTCAAGAGAAGGGAAGGTTAATAAGGAAGGTTAAGTAAATGAAAAATTTTTATAAAGTTTGTATGGAAACCTAGTATTGTGGAAGCTAGCTGGTATTGGGATTTGATAATTAAGGGTATTTATAAAATATTGACATGCTCTTACTAAAACAATGAAAAAATGCCTTGGTGTGTTCAGTTGGTCTCAATGAATTAGAATGATAAAGTAGAGCATCTAACTCTCTGTTAAAATACTCTCATTCTCAATGAGGCATTTGAACTCATTATCTTGGGACCCTACCTGTGCTTATAAGAGATAAGCAATATATGTGGAATTCATGGTCATCCTAGTTATAGGATAAAGGGGGCTGGGTCTGTTCTGTATCCTATCATTCCTCAGAATAATCCTTGGGTCTCACGGCCTCTTGAGTGCCCTTTGGCCAAGTCCTCTCTGTTGGTTAGATCAGTGTGATGACAGGGTTCAGTGATAGAAGAAAATTCTACCCACTGTTTGTCAGTGCTCCAAACAAATTCTCTGATTTTCTTTGACCCATTCTTCACCAAAGAACCAGCTTCTCTCAACAGCAGACCTCACTTGTATCTCTTCCTCTACTCAAAGAACTCTTGTTCTGACCAGACCCGATGCTTAATTGTAGTACTATTGTCATCAGATGCAGTCAGTTTATTTCCTGATTAGATTTTGGTCGAGTTCCATAGACAGAACCTACATTTGTATAAGTTAAACCTTGCTGAAAATATGTGACTTAGGGTATTTTAAGCTGTAATGTGATGACCTTATATGATGTTTTGTTAAATGAAAGTACTTTATTTACAAAAAGAAAAGAATACTGAAACAACAACTACAGCACACACACACACACACACACACACACACACACACGCAAGTCTTCTACACATCTGGATTTGCCCCATACATTACTGCCCTATTGTGCCTACTATGCAGAAACCAACACTTTACTGTGTTCTCTGGATATGGCCAACAAAAAAATGCAAATATTGAACTGTTCTGAAGGAAGATAGTACCTATGGCCTTATTTTTTGATGCTCAGAAACAGTGACATACATATGTGACCTTAAGCAAGACACAGTGACAGAAACACTTAAGTATCCTAAAATAAGTGAATAAATAAATAAAAGTAGTGAAAGTCTGGGACATAGAAATTTTGCTGGGAATGGAATTATTTGATGCAGGCAAGATGTATATAATGATTTGTAGTTTCATTTTGGTCCCTAGATGTAGCCTCAAAATCAAGTAAAAAGGTCATACTGATTCCATGCGTCATCATTGCCATGAGGCTGAAGAGTCATCTGGTCCTTACCTTTATTCCTGATCTTCCTTTTTCTTGCCTTTTACAGGATGTGGCCTTGAGGATGGTTCACTGGCCTATTTATTGGGGTGGAATATTTACCGGAGGTAGGACTGCAGTGAAGAAGCCAAGCTGTGCTAAGGACCCTCAGAGATGCCACTGTCTTTCTCTCAGCCGTGCTCCTGTGAGTAACTCTTTTCGTGGACTTTTAAATAACCGAGGACATTCCATTAACTTACAAAATCTATTGGACAATTTATATATTTGGTGTCATTTTTACAGATGCTTATTTGTTCTTGCCTAATCAGGACAAATAAAATCAGATAAAGCTGAGAAATACTTTTTTATCACTGCTCTAGAACACAAATATGCTGCACACTCTTAGATGAGTATTTGTTAAACAAGTCTTCATTCCTGGAGACATGTAGAAATGTCTAGAGACATTTTGCATTTTAATTGACTTATATAGAAAGATTTTTTTTTTGTATCTGGCAGTAAGATTTTGCTTATATGACCAGGGAATAAAAAATGATCAACATCAAAAAGTCAAATTGCAGAAATTAAAACATTTGACTAGAATGAGTTAAAAGGAGATTGCCTACTAAATTTTTAGTAACTATAGAAGGAAAAATGTATCATATTCTGGTTTCTGGATCTCTGCTATAATATGCTTAACTTGAATGAACTAAATTAATCATTCTTTCTAATATGGGGACATTGAGTTCAAGAATAATAGACTAGGATCTATACAACTCTAAATTTTTCATTCAAGTAAAAACATTTCAAAGGAGATATTATGGTGATACAGTCTTTTCTTGATATAATTTATAAGTAAATAAATTGATAAGAAGCATGAATTAGATTTTATGAGGTAAAAAATTCCAGTATCATTAGATCTTTGTCAGTTAGGTCAAACTGTTGATACCTTTCACTTGATAAACGGAAGGATTTTACATGTACTTATTGTATACATGTACATCTAGCATGCATAAAGCAAAATTAGAGAAAGCATCATGATTTTTGAAAGTCTAGTTGTACAATAAAAAGTACTCTTTCCCGGTAAACAGTGCACTAACTTTTATCCAATGCTTAATGACAACCATAAAATCATATATATGTATGCAAATATTTTTATAGTGATGAAGCACTTTTTATGTATGTGTTTAATAAGACAAATACATATGCATGCAAATGTGTATATATACGTACATACATATATCAAATAAAGCAAAGAATGTTATGAATTTGAAAGAGGATAGGGTTATGTGGAAGTGTGTGAGATGAATTGAGGAACAAAGAAAGTGATATGATTATCATAATCTTAAAAATAAAATGATCATTTAAAATGCATTTATCTGAATTATTTTCATTTTGCTTATAAATAGTTGATGGTTTCATTGTATACTACACAATCTTTTCTAGTGATTTTAGTTATTTTTGAATACTTATAGGTAGGGATTTTCCTATTAATAAATCTTACTAGTACCCTGATTTTATTATGAGCATTTTAAATTGAATTTATTGAAGACTTTATATGAGGTACTTTTCCAGATATATTTACTAAAAATAACCAATTTTATACTTTAATAGTAACACGATGCTTCATCCTCTTGAAATCACTAATATTATCATTTTAGACCTCTAGTTTTGTCTACATATACAATGTAATTTGATAATGACATACTAACACTATATATTATCAAGATTTCTCAGTAAAAGAGGTTGTCTTATAGAGGAAGACAAACAAATAAAATAAAGAGGAATGAGGCTTTTGTAGTCAAAGGCTCAAGGACAAAGGTTGATCTCTACAGGTAACAACTTCTGCTGATACAGCCTCAAGACTACAGATGTGTTCCTGCAACTAAGGTTATAACTGAGAGACCCTGGATATGAACTGAGTCACAATGCATAAGGCACAGTCCATACTCTTGGCCATCTATTCTCCATCAGCTGATACTAAGATATTTGGGGAGGTGAACAGTTAATCCATCCTACCACGCTTCTCTTTCCACAAAACATTTTGATGACATTACACATGATCACTCTACCCAGAGGGTTATTGAAAAGTACAAGTTCATATGAAAAACACTCTGAAGCTTGTTTTAAAATGGCAACCTTATAGAATTATTACTCTAAAATAGTAGAGCCAGACCAGAGGTTCCTTATCATACAGGAATCTCAACACCCTGTGTTACACAACAGTCACTCATGTGTTTGCTCCTTATTTTTATTTTTTTTAATTCACCATTTTTTATTTATTTTACATTCCAACCCCAGTGGCTCTTCCCTTTTCTTCTTCTGATTCTTCTCCCATCTCCTTCTTTCTTTATATTTAATATGCACTTCTGAGAGAGTACATAATATTTTCATTTATCTGAATCTGTGTTATTTCAATCAAAATGATTTCTTTCCTAGTCCCATTCATTTGCCTGCAAATTTCTTAATGTCATTGCTTACTTTGTTGAGTGGTACATTAATGAGTGAGTACATACCATATTCATAGTTTTGGGTCTGGGTTACCTCACTCAGTATAGTGTTTTCTAATTCCATCCATTTGCCTGCAAAATTCAAGATGTCATTGTTTTTTTTTACTGCTGAGTAGCACTCTAATGTGTAGATGTGCCCCACTTTCTTTATCCATTCTTCTGTTGAGGGACATCTATGTTGTTTCCAGGTTCTGGCTATTATAAATAGTGCTGTTATGAACATAGTTGAACAAATGCTTTTGTAGTATGATTGAGCATCTTTTGGGAATATGTCCAAGAGTGGTATTGCTGGATCCTGAGGTAGGGTGACCCCCAATTTTCTGAGAAACTGCCATACTGATTTCCAAAGTGGTTGCACAAGTTTGCATTCCCACCAGCCATGGATGAGTGTTTTCCTTACTCCATATCCTCTCTAACATAAGCTGTAATTGGGGTCTTTGATTTTTGCCATTCTGACAGGTGTTAGATGATATCTCAAAGTTGTTTTGAATTGCATATTCTTAAGTATCTTTTGACCAATTTCAAATAGTCATTGAATGCATTCATATACCAGCTTTTACTCATCTTTTCTTCCAACACATGTGACTTGTGCCTATGCTTGTTCATCCAACTCTTGGGATTGAAGTGCCTGATTTCCCAACTGGTGTGGCTTGCACCTGTACCTGTATAGTCCACTGGGATTGCAGGGGAAGTCTGGCAACAGGGAGGATGTTCAGGTGTGTGGGGTTGGACAGTGGAGTGGGTTTTGTTGGGGCAACATCCAGTGGGTGGTGGACATTTGGTTACAGTCTGGAGGAAGGTCTCTTACCTGCATACAGGCCAGTGGGGACTGCATCAGAGCACTTATGTTTACTCTTTTAATCCATAAAGTTGAAAATGAATGCTACCAAGCTAACCTGTCAAAATACACACATTTCTTACTTATTTTGGAGTACTCATATTTTCCATCCCTATCTTACGCAATGACTTCTGATCCTTGGGTGTGGGCTTTATGCACAGGAACAGGTAGATTGCTCTGAGGTTGCATCTCCTAGGAAAGTCAGAGGCTATACCCACAAAGTCTCACCAGCATGATTCCCTAGTCATGAGCTGAATAAAGTAAAAACAATAGGTATACCAACATGGGTGAGGTACAGTCCAGGAGGTCTCCAACCTACACAAAGAACTATAGTCAACTAAGGTGAATAGTATTTCCCAAGGGAAAAAAACACACTCATTGGTTATCTAATACTGAATGGTACTGAAAATCTTACCAATGATTAATTAGAAAAAACAGCCATGAATTTTAAAAAGAGCAAGGAGAATTATATGGGGTATTGCAAAGAGGAAAGAGAAGGGGCAAATGATGTAACTATATCAATTTCAAAAATTAAAGAAAAAATCTTGTAGGAAGGGATAGTTGAAAACTGACATAGATTCTTCATAAATTGTATAATACTGTACCAGCAATTAATATGATCTTCTGATGATGAAAATTTCATAGTTATTTTTGATATCAATTCCAGACTCCAGGAAGTCACAAAGTTCTGATACTATCTATGTCTGTGAATGTGAGAACTGAATTACATTTTCACAGTGAAAAACATGTTTTCACCCCTATATAGTATCAAGTCAACAGGTGAAGGCTTTGGGAAAAGATGATGTCATTTTTTTGTGATAAGTTTGGATGAATGGATCTGAATGACTTGATTCTTTTATAAGGGGCACTTCTGGTGCTGCTAGTGTCAAACCTCCTTTTATGGGAGAACGTGGCCTCTGTACCTTTGAATTGCAATGAGACTGATGAACTGTACCTCACGGAACTCTTTGACCATGCAATGCTACTCTGCCAGAATATCAGTGACCTCAACATGGATTTGCCTAAGATATTTGTAAGTATTTCACTTATGTCTGTTTTACTTACTTTTTTATAAAGTAACTTTTATATCAAAGATTGTCCCATACCACATTTATAGTTACTATGAGCCAAATTTCCTTTACACCTTACATAAAGGTATATGGCAAATAGGACACTTTATAATAACAAGATAAAACAACATTTATTGAAATATGAAATAAGAAGATTGGAGTAGGTTTCCTGAAATCTCAAAGACTTTTGAGGAATTCAATAAGTCTTGGAGTTTCCCCATACTTATCTTTAAATTTTCTTAAGTTTTAATTTGTGTCAAAAATTTTCTAATAAACGGGATAAACAGAACCGGGGAAGAGGTCTGACTTTCTTACCTTGTTTGCTAGAGGCACGTCTCTGTTAATATCTTTACTTAGCACACAGCATACATCCAATAGAGAAGAAATATAACGAGTAACATAGAATGAACAAAAATAATCTAAATTGTGAAGGTGCAGCAAAAGAAAAACGCAAGCAAACAACCAGAAAAAAAAACCTGAACAAACAAACAAACAAACAAAAAAAACAAGCAAACCAAACCTTAGCCTCTCAAGCTTTTAAATGCTGGAAGTTCTTGTTTAAAAAAAATTATAAAGCACGAGTTTATTCACTTAGAATGCAAGTTTAGAAAAGAAGTGAGTTCTCTGTTCATGAGAACAATGTTAACAAGGTTAGTCAAAAATAAGGAGGAGAAAATACACAAGGCTTCTGTATAGAAATTGGCAGCCAGAGAATGTATCTTTGTGCATTTATGTTGTCTTTTAACTCACTACTTGTTTTCTCCATCCTGTCTCAGACCGTCAGTGCATCATCTGCAAAAGTTTCTGATAAATTTGTAAGTACCTCGCTTACTTCCATCTTCTTTACTCTAAGTCTTCATGTTAATGACTATGCTTGAACTTAGCGTAGGAAAGCTTCAAATCCAATTTTCAAATAATACACCTCCGTGGGTAAAACAAAGTACCAACGACTGAAAAGTAGCATAATAATGGGACAACTCCAGAAAATTACTGGTTTGCAAAGAACATAATGATTTTAAAGGTCATTCTCCTTTTGAAAAACTTGATTATTTTGAAATATCATTGCACTTGGAACACAATACTTTCTTTAATAGTTGCATCGAAGAAAGAGCTCGGATTCCATGGTCTTCCTTCTCTGAAGCCAGCTGCCACTGACATCTTTACTTAGCACACTGGGGACATCTAATAGGGAAGGCGTGCTCGACAGTGAGTCGCAAGGAATGGATAGAATGAATGCAAACGCTGATAATCCAAGGAGGGGAAACGCAAGCAACAACATATTAGCTTCTCACAAACACTAAATCTTGAGGGTCATTATTAAGTTTTCTGGAGCTCAGGTTTACTCACTGGGGAGGCTGGTTTATAAGAGTCAGGTTCTCTTCATGATGGCTATATGGTGTCTGCCCAGGGTCAGTCAGGGTCATGGAGGAGACACTAAACATAACTTCAGTACAGAAATGGGAACCCAGAGGATATTGTTTTTCCTAATAAATAGGTCATCATGTTATCTCTTTACTCACTATATTTTTTTTGACATGGTCCTCATCTGGATTCAGATAAGTTCACCATCAGGGTCATCCAATCAAGTAAGTGCCTCGCTTATTTCTGTGTTCTCTCTCAAGCCTTCATTCTAATGACATTACCTGAATTTGCAAGAGAAAGTGTTGAAGACCAAGTGTCAAGTAGCACAGTGTCAAGTATCAACAGCTGTATCATGATATAACATTCTTGCACTATTATACAAGAATGCTTCCAGCAGTAAAATGCAAAATGAGAATGCGGAAGCTTCAGGGAATCTGATTTGAAATAAAAAAAAAGTAGAAAGAACGATATTTAAAATGTTTTACATAATTTTTTATAAATTTATTTACTTTCTTATTAATAATTATTATTGTAAAATCACATTGTTAAATTTTTAATTTTAGTTTTTAAGCTGATTTCATTTTTAAAAATCACATATCTAATGAATGCATTAATATTCTCATTGTGGCTTACTTGACTTATATTTAAGACACAAATTAACACAATATTAATTTTCAATATACAGATGCTTGAGTTTCTTGGAAATCAGGAATTCCTGGTTAAGAATCTCATCTCCTGCCACAATTATTCCATCAGAACACCAGAAAACATTGATGAAGTCCAAAAGATCTCTGTAAGCCTATAGTTGTATCTTTTTATTTTACCTAAATAGCTAATAGAATAAACTGACTTAACTTTGTCATGCTGTGGAACTTTGTAAGTACTATAAGAGATGTGGAAATCATGTTTACATGAAAATGATTTGAAAATGAACAAAGAAAAGTCATGCTAGATACTTCATGTTAAAAACGCAAATGCTAAGTAATATTGTAGCAGGCCCATAAATTATCCATTAAGAGGGTTTTAGTTTAACAATATCTCACCAGATGACTTTACTTAATAACTTCAATTACATTTTTGTCCTGGTATGTTACCAGTGAATGGCTCCCCACTAGCAAGTCTCACATTATTTACTACCATGCTGTCTTCTTGATTTTCAAGACTCATCTAATTGTACTTCTGCTTCTTACTCTCCCATTTATTCCTCACAACTTCTAGGATTTTTTTTTTTTGACCTAACTGTAAGCACCTGAACAAGAAACTGCTGTAAACATTGTCTAGTGTTCCTCAGAATGAACCATGCCCCCAGTTCTTATGACAAGGTCTATATATCACTACAACTCTAGTTTTCAACTGTTACGTTCTTTCCTTATGATTCTTTTCTATAACTTATCTTCAAATGAACTGACTTAGGCATCATGTGAAAATTAGAAGGCAAAATGAAGGGAAAGGGTGTTTCCAGATAGGTACTTCGTGGCTAAGCACTTCACAGCATGCTTTGTTGATACTGCTGCAATTAGCACTCACAAGAGCTAGCTGGTTTAAGTAGAATGAGGCTTTGAAAGTTTTACTGAACTTGAAGAATCAGCTTTCTCTGTCAGAATGGGTGTTGCATTCCATGCAATACAAGTTCTCACTCTTATTCGTTGGGTAGCAATGGTCCCAGGAGACTGCATTGCCCACACTTTTAGATCTTGTCCTTTCCTCCATGTATTTTTGAATTCCATCACAATATCCACTGAATTTTATTGTACTCTTTTTATTGTCTCTGTAATGGCTAAAGAAATCAGTACACAAACTCTGTTAAAGCAGGAATGAATTTCATGTAAGATCTTGAAGCACACTGGAAATCAAAATTCCATTATTTCTATTTATGCTGTTATTAAGGACAATGGCATCCCATTATTCTTTACTTATATGTTCCAAAAATGTGCTGATATTAGAGACAAGGAGAGAGAGTGCCCTACATTGAGGAAACCATACTTATTAATGCCAGGTTGCATTAATGGAATACTTTTACTAATATCTTAAAAATACGTAAAATAATTATAATTTTGACCAACTTAGTTTATCTGTGTTATAAGTCTAAATTAAATTTTTCTCCATCTACCCTGGGGAAATCTACTTTTCCTGAATTAAAACACCTACTAAGCCCCCAACAAATTCTTGGGTTCCCCTGGACAAGCAAAATAAGGAAGCATGAAAGAGTCTACAAGGAGATCAGATTTTCATGTGGAAAACACAACATGATCAATCAAATGGGTTATTGGAAATAATAGATATATACATAATTACTTTATGGTGGCAAATTACAGGTTAATCATTTTATGTTATTAATCTATATTATTTTTATTCCCCCAAACCATACCACCTTCCTATAAAATAACAAATGGATATTTAATTCACAAGTCTGATAGAAAACCAAAGCTAACTAATCCTTCTTTATTTCATGTATTAATATAACTGACGAAACATGACTGCTTAGCTTGAAGACTTTCCAAAACTGATACTCAGTAGAATGCAGGCTTGGAATGACACTCTTCACAACCTCCTGATCATACTTGGAAATATGCCAGGATCACACAATGATGTCCTATCATTAGCCAAAGACATTAGGACAAAAACTGCAGAGCTTTTTGAAGACACCAAGAGTATACTCAGCAAGGTGAGTAGTGTAATTATTTTTATTTTCCTCACTCATGAATGATATGACTCTGCAATGAATATTAAGTTTTGAAAACTCAATTTGCAAGAAAAAATTTGGTACCCAATCTTGTAAACATTCTCAGAACTAATGGATAAACAGTGGAGTTCAAGTTTTTTACAGTAGCTTCAACAGTACCTGTAACTTTGGGTAGAGTAAAATATTCCTGACTACTTCATTAGACTCTATTAACACCATAAAACCTTGCCAATCAGCATGCATTGCAAAGTCAAACCCAACTCTGTGCTCAAGTATCAACCCATTCCTCTTTCTTTGGAGTAATAAAAAGACAGTTTTTATTAGAAGTAGATTAAATATAAGAAACTGTTTGCACACATCTTGATTTTACTCTATTGAACAAAACTGATTGTTTTCCCCCTTTTGTGTCAGTTATTAATTGCAAATAACTTTTTAGTTAAAGATAGGACTTTGTTTCTACTTCCACATCTCAGTCCTGGAATTTTGTCTAGTTTGAACCTGTGGAAGTTTTATGTCAAAGTCTGTGAGTTTATGTGTGTATCAGTCCTGTTATATCTGGAAGATGCTGTTTCCTTGATGTCGGTTACCAGTTTAGCCTCTTAGAATTTTATGCCTCCTCTTCCATGTAGATACTGGATCCTTGAAAAGAGGGATTTGATATAGACTTCCATTTTAGCTGAGAGTTTCAGAGTGTCTTAATCTATACACATTATATAGTTGTGTATCTCATTTTAATAACTACAGTCAGAAGAAGAAACTTCTCTGATGGGGACTATACACATCTATAGGTATCACAATATTTTATTGCTATATTCACTTTAGTGAATAACAGTAGTAGGTTTCCCCTAGTTCTGTGACCTATCTAGTTTTAAGTTCTAAGCCTCATTAACAGCATAAACAGTGCCAGGTATGGGCTATATCTCATAGAGTTGTTGCTTAGATCCAAAGAGTGGATGGTTCCTCCCATAACATTTTCGTCACTCTTGCAGGCAGGTATTCTAAAGCAGATGCTTGTCTGTAAACAGTTTAATAGTATTATCATTTCCTTAAATGTTTTTAACATCTAGGAAGGAAAGGAGAAGCAAATACAAGTTGTGTAAATAATAACTGACTGATCATCCTTCTGGTCAACAGATTTATGGAACAACAGAAAATGTGGATTATACTGTCTGGTCTGGTCTTGAAGACATTCAGTCATCTGATGAAGACTCTCGCTTTATTGCCCTTTGTAAATTATCATATTGCTTGCACACTGATTTACAAGCAGTTGACCTTTCTCTCATGATCCTGAGATGTATGGTGCTTGTTAATAGTGACATATGCTCATCCTCAAGAGTTGGAAATTCATGATGTTGCATCGTTCTAAATAGTCTTCGTGTTATTCATTTTGAAGGTTTGCTTGGGTGTAATGTTTTTTTTAAAGAAAAATAAACATTGCATATATGCCAAAGTTTACAGAAATAACTTGTTTGTATCTTTTATGCATTTAGTATAAATATGTCAACAACTTTAAAAGGTTTGATTGGCTATTGGAATTGTTGGGAGCAGTGAGACCCCATATCCTCAATTTCTTGTAATCCCCTGATCTGAGTGCCTAAAGCTGCTCTGAGCTCGAGACCTTCAGGAGTTCCTGATGGCAGGAGAGTGGTTTCAGGTGAGTTTGGCTGGGGCGTGGCTACCTCTACATAATCTGCCCCTGAACACAATAAAGGGGGCATTCTTGAGGAATTCGAGGATGACCCGTGTCGCTGTCTCCCTGTCTGTGTGTGTGTCTGTGTATTTTAACCTCCAGCCCCCTTGCCCGAAGCTCTCAAACTGGGTGCCAGCGCACAGAGTGCAGACACGGGGGCGTGGTGCGCGGTAGGAATATTTCACAACTTACACTAGAGTCACGCTAAATTAATATTGATGTTGATATAGTTATTATAATCAGAGGGTAAATTACATTTAGAAGTTTTTCCATATTAATAAGTAATGGGATATTGGACTATCTCAAGAAAGTCATTCAGCTTGCAGGAACCTGTACTGTTGCCCCATGCCATAGCTACCCAACAGGTTCTGCCAGGCCATGATACCCTGCATTCTGATGCTTTGTTATGTTTTCTTTCATATCTCTAAGTCGACTACACTCAACACACTCCTCAAAGAGGACCACATGGTGCTATAATCAGTCATCCTGTCTCATTTCAGGAATCATACCCATATTTGCCAAACCTCCAGGTTTGGGCCGTGTGCATGAGTAGTCCCTTTGGTTCATAAGACATTATCCTGTCATCCCATGCCATTACCTCCTTTCTAGATCCAGCCTGGAAGGTACATTCTGTTATCTGGCCTAGCCTGGCGAGTGCCTACTCTATTACCTAAGAACTGTGTACTCACCTAACCCCAACACTCTAACAGACGGGAATAATCGCTAACTGCATTCAAAAACTTATCTACACACTCACAGGTAAATATAGCTCTTACCCATTGTCAAAGAAACTTCTCAGTATCAAATTTCCCTCTACATTTTGATCTCTGTATTAATAGACTAGCTGAACCTTTCAGGCCTTATTAGAGAATTTTCTACATTCTCAAATAATAAAAGTGATGGAGGTGGGTCTTGTATCTTATCTGTTGATTTCATTGGTTAATAATAAAGAAACTGACTCGGCCCTCATAGGACAGAAAATTAGGTAGGCGGAGTAGACAGAAGAGAATGCTGGGAAAAAGAAGCTGAGTCTAGTCGTCGCCATGATTCTCCCGCTCCAGACAGACGCAGGTTAAGATCCTCCATGGTAAGCCAGCTCGTGGGCTACACAGAATATTAGAAATGGGTCAGAACAATATGTAAGAGCTAGCCAATAAGAAGCTGGAACTAGCCGGGCCAGGCAGTGTTTGAAAGAATACAGTTTCCGTGTAATTATTTCGGGGCATAAGCTAGCCATGCGGGCGGCCGGGTGCCGGGGACGCAGCCCCGCCGCTCCTAATTCAACATAAAAGTCCAAAGAACAAGTATTGGAGGCTTGTTTAGTCACCAGTTAGATATTTAGATCACCAAACCCACAAGTTTCAGGGACTACTTTGGAAGAGGGGAGTGAAGAATTATCAAGAGTCAGAGGCTAGAGAGTACCATTGCAAAGCAGTGTCTTTTGGACATGGACAGGCTGTGCTTGCTTGTGTAAGAACTGTTTACTGTCCTGGATATAGGTGGGGATGTGACACGGCCCCATCCCATGACTTCAGAGATATTGATGGTTAATGGCTTCCTAAAGGTGAGAGCATATCGCCGCTTTTAGTTAGCTCAGAGGATAATAATTAACCTGTTAGCAGAAATCTGAACGATGAATTCTATGGAAAAAAAAAACTGGGAAAGAAAGGGGGAAGGCAGTAATTAAAGAATAATCATATTAAATCACATTATGGAGTAGATAAATTACAATGAAATTTAAAGGCCAAGTAATATTATAGACGGTCCAAAAGTTCTCTATGGAGAGAACATGTTTTGCCAATGTCTACATGGTTACAGAGAACACTTTGAATAGAATTACACACATGGTTAACTATATTCATATGTATAGAGAAGATACAGACACATTGAACATTACAAATGTCACCTCTTTTTGCAACTTTGAATATTATTAATTTCTATGACATCTCATATTGAGTACCCTTCATATTTTCAGTACCCTTCAGGTTCTTGTGGTTTCCAACTTGCATGCCCATTCCTCAGTGAATTCTTGAACTTTTCTTATTTAGTAACTAAGAGCCAATTGAACAAGAGGTGTCTATAAAATTTTACAGTTATCATAATAGAACCATGCCCTCAGTTATGACAAAGTATACACATTATGCCATTTCTACATGCTTTAACCAACCTTGACATGACCTTAACTACATTTCAAACATCACCTACACACACCTACACACACAATATATTGTTGTTCTCATACCACAATTTTAATTGTGTACCATCAATTTTATATCTGCTATTCTTGTTAGTAATACACATGGTAATATAAGAAGAGTAAAAGAAAGTAAAGAAAGAGTATACTTAGATAGACACCTCATTTTTAACAATTTTACAGAAAAGTCAATTGATGTTATGACATTTAATCCATCAAATTATTATACAAGTTTCAATTATTACAGTGGCTGAGTGAGTTAAAAAAACTGAGGCTCAGATATTCTATAAAATTCTACCCCACATATGTGATTCTGTGGGTTGCATCCAACATATCAATTAGTTGCCAATACCAAATATTCAATCCTGAAAACCTACATACAAGTAACATTATACAGTTCGAACATGTTATATTTAGAAATACATATATAGAAACATAAATATATATGAATATAGTAACATTTAATAAAAGAATAGCTGTGAATTTGAAAGAGGAAGGATATGTGAAAGGGTTTGGAGAGAAGAAATTTAAGGGAGAAACAATGCCATTACATAGCTCAAATATAAAAAGAAAAATGAAGACAAAGTGGCCAATTTTCATCTTTTTCTGTTTCCTCATTACAGTCACCATACAGCAAGATGCTTCATCCTTCCACCATAGGTTCCTACTTTAAATAATAGAACAAAGGGCACAGTGGAAAGATGCTGTGTTGACTGAGGTTTGTAATTTAATTGCTAATGGAAAAAGACAGGAGGGTCTTTGATTTTGGCTAACCAGCTCAGCCGGTCTACCTACGAAGTTTGAAGCCACTGAGAGATTTAATGTTGAAACAAAAACAAAGCAATTCTCTCTTTCTGCCACCCACTCACCAACAAACATATAAAGGAGGGAACACACATACTTTGTGCCTAATGGCAAGAAAAAATAAATGTTGTTTTAAAATTTTTCTAATACCAGGGAATTCCGAAGGAAAAATATAATCCTAAGAGTGATGTTGCTGATATTAAGAAATGGTAATGTGTGTATTACAGTCTGCCAGTCTGGGGTAAACGAAATGACACGACAATATTACAATGTGCTGATACCAATGCTCTACAGGTGACAATGGCCAAGATCCAGAGTTAATGACATCCATGGATTTTATAAAATGGAAAACAAAGGTTTTGTCTGTTTCAGTTAATTTTAGATTATAAAAATGTCTTGTCTGAAAACACATAAGCACATATATGCATACATATATGTGTATGTATATACACATACATATACAAAGTTTTATATTATACATAATGTCTTGAAGCATTACATTTATAGAAATTGAAACTCTACAATTTGAGTTATCTCAAAATGACCTAATATAGAGTATGTGTGCTAATACAGGAGCAAAAGTGCCAAGGCATGTCTACCAACGTAATTCTGCTACAACAGTTCTGGCAGCAAGCAACAGCATTCTGATTTGATTAAAGGCAAACCACAGGAGGAAAACCATGCTGTGCATGGCAAGACAGGCAAAATATGAACATTATAAGGAATTGTAATACACAAAGAATTTTTTCTTTCTCTTTTGTGATGTACTTTTCAAATTTTAAATCTTTTTTTTTATACCAAATTTGTAGAGAGACACTTTACAGTAGTCAGTTTGTTACAAAAATTTGGCCAGTTAAATTGCTGAGAATAATTGAATAATGATGTGATGAGGAGGTCGAACATTCCAGGAAAAGGTCACATACATATCTTAACAATTCTAAGAAGCAGAAAAACACTAAAAATTACAGAGCAAATTCAAGAGTTGGGGGAAGGAGGGATGTGATAAGCAACAGCAATTTCCACCTGGTATGATGTTTTGGTAGAGGAGCGTGAATTCAACTTGACTTTGTAAGTATCTAAAATAATATGGATACAATTTGTAAAAATAGCAGGGAAATACAGATACACAGGTCTGTGGTAATAGCGATGCTGCGGCTGACATTACCTGAAGCAGGGGAGCCACTGGAAAATTACCTAGGCTTTTAAAGCTCTTCCTTTCCTGTTGCAACTGCAAGTGACCTTGTGGCAATCTGCCAAAGTATTCAGGAGGGAAGAAGTAAAAAGAGATCAGGTCCTCAGTGCAATAACCTTCTCTAGTGCCCCACATAGTGTAGTGGAACTTTTCTGAGATGCAGCTGTCATTGAGTTTACCATGCTTCTGTAGGTCAGCGCTTCTCACTCATGCTCTTCTGAGTAGATCAGATCAACCTGTTGGTTCTTCAAGGTTATTAGATGGAATCCTTTCATTAGAATCCTGTCTCGTGTTTTTTTGTTAACAGACATCTGTCTTTGTTCAAGCAGCACAACATTAGGCTTAGGAAATTTTACAATCTAGGAAGACTATTTACAATGGTATAGTAGACTATTTACACAGGTTCACAAACATGAGAACCCTTTTTTTTTATGTCAAACAGCTGTAAATAACTCGCATTCCATATCTTA